GGGACGTGCTGCAGGGGACGGCGATGGAGTCGGGCGGCTCCGGGTTGAGGGTTAAAGGCGCGCGTTGACGAGGGGCTGCCGTTCAATTCAGTAGAGCCCTGTAACTAACGCAGGCAAAAGATGAGCCGTGCCGTTAATTGTCGTGTTACAGTGCTACTTACACCTGTGTCTGGCCTGGAGATGGAGGACTTGGTGCTTCAAATGGATAACGCTAGATAGAAAAATCTTTCTTGAAGTACTTTATCGATAATACTAATTTCCTGGTATTGCCAATGAAAATGTAATACCTCTTGGAGTTATTTACAGTTAGAAAACTCTGCTCAGAGTTCAGAGGCAGAACTGGCCATTCTGTGCTCCTCCCAGTGGAATATATGAGAATTATACTTGTATCCTTTTAAAAACCTTGGTTTACCCTAAGCTAGTCTCGCTTTCAAGCATAAGGAGTTCAGCTGAACAGCCGATCCTTTATAATTTGCTCGGCTCACATTTTAAGGCTTTTCTTTAACAAACACAAGGACTAGAAGTACGTTTTTAATGAAATCTGAGGTTTTTTTTTCTCATAACTCGAGTCTTTAAGTGAAAAACTAGTATCACAGAATTAATAAACTGCAAGATTTGTTATAAGCAACGAATGGAATAACTGTATTAATAACATGCAAAATAGATACATATATATTTTTCTTTCCCAGCCTTGGAATATTGCAGAGGTTGTTAATCTTTAAACTCCTTCAAATGGCTGTGTTCAGTTGCCCTGAACCGTCCTGCAGAATTAATGGAGCCACTCAAAATGAAAGGTTGCAAATCAATTCCTTCTTTGCTGAATAAGTAACCTGAAACAGTTTAGTCATTAAGATGCAAATTGGCAGAAAGATGGAGAAAGCATGGAGTCTACGGTTCCTCATTTTCTGTAGATGGGTTTAATCAGCTCCAGCTTACCTATAAAGTTTATCTTTGATTTATTGCACTTTTGCCTATGAGAAGTTGAGTTGTTTTTCTAAGCATCTTACAGCTTTAATACCTCTTGGTGCTGTGGAGTTTTGGGTGCTCTATGAGCATTCTTAAGACACTTCAATTTGGTAAGAACTAGGAGATAGTTTGTGTTAATCAGTATTGCAAATTTTGTAAATAGGGCTTATTTTCATTCAGATAAAACTACATTGTTGTGATTTTAGAGAACCTGGGTCACAATATTTCTAGATTCGTGGCCTTAAGAAAGAAAGCAACCTTGGAGTAGCATACTCTACTAAAGGAAATGCACAGATAATAGTATTCATAAAAGCCTGACCACAAACCTCCATCACGTAAACTTACACCTCCATAAGATACCATATAAAACGGTGATTTATGACATTAGGCACTTTTGAGGTGTCCTCTGAAGCAATTTACAAGTATTCCTGGGTTAAGCCTTATATCACTCTTATGAGAAAAACATTAATATTTCTAATTTCATCTCTATTTTAGAGATGAGGTGGCTGCCAAAGAGTAAACAGACCCGAAGAGATCTGACAGTGTGTTATCACAGCTTTTGATGCCATGTATACAGTAGGCTGAAGAACAACTGAATATAAACCAATGAAGCCATTCAATGATGTGAGCTATCCCCTTGCCTAATATTCCATGAGACTTTACCCCAGAAAGAGCACGTTACAGTCAGTGTATCTAATAAGGTGCTCCATGTAAGTAAGGCCTTAGGGCTGAGAGAGAAGGGAACATGTTCTGTAAAATCTACAGTGATTCAGACGCTATTATGCAAAATTAGGATTTTTTTCTCTTTGGTCTGGTGTGATTTTTGTTGACTTGCTCCACTCTTTCGGAGGCAATTTTTTGTTCACTTAGATCGAGAAATAAGATTAATTTCATTTTCTCCCCATCTTCTCTATCATAATAGACAGTAGTAGCAGGATCTTTCAGAATCCCGAAAGAATCTGTAAGTGAATGGAACTCTTCTGTGTTTATTTGTAATAAACTATTTCCTTGCTGATATCGTTCTGAGCCTGTCAGTATCTGTGATGAGACCTATAACACTGGTAACTGATGAAAAAAAAATCATCACTGCTATTAAAATATGTTCTACCAATGGTGGAAACGCATGCTGTGTGTTTTACTTTCACTGTAATACAAAGAATACATATACGGTACAGCATAAAAATGAACCTAGTTACTGAATACCTGTTTCTCCAAGTTCATGCCTACCTTTGCAGGTTGAAGCTCTAGTTCCTAGGGAATGAGGTTCTTCACAACAAAAACAGTGACAGCACTGGAATCTATCCTTGACCTAGCTGAGAGATTAAATTGCATGTTATCAATACCAGGTGCAAAACATAATATATATGCAAGATAGCAATATGCAAAATTTTTCCTGTTCATGTGGCACGACAGGGGGTGCTTCACTTACCATATTAATATGATTACAAACAAGTGTTGACATGATGTGCAGCAACAGAAAAGTAATCAAATTAAGAAAAGTGATTTTTATCTCAATTTTGTTATAATATACCAAAGAGTAAGTGTGTCAGATGTCTTTACAATGATTATTTTCAATTTAGAGGGCTATAATCATTGATACCAGTGCTCAGCATACATGTGTCTTCTGCTTCTTGACACTAGTACTGGAAATAGATCAGTTAAACACTATAGCATACTGTAATTGCTTTTCATTAACATGTTTCCTTTGAAAGTTCAGCACTGGCCTGCAAACTGGAAAATCTGACCTTGTACCTTTTTTGTGTGTTTTCATCTCATGACATGGACTAATAATTTCTAAAAGATCATTATTTATTTTAAAAGGAGGAAAGCTCTTTCCATAATGCTTTATTCCATCTGAATCGGTAAAGTCCAGAAACCGAATCGCACGAAAAAAGGTAATGAATTCAAGAGAATTAGAATGGGTGGTCAGTGTCAAAAATAGATAAAGTGATTTGGCTTTTCTTACCTTCTTATGACAATTATACTTTAAAAGAATTGACAACCAAGGTCTGAAACCTTGAAGATTCAGTTTCCCAGTAAAATTTTCTTTTCTAGGGATACAAAGAAGCTAAGCGAAGTTTCAGACGTTTTAATCCACTATAGTCAAAACCAAAGACACTTCAATAAAACCTCATACTTTAATAAGACCTCCCAGCTAAATTCTTTGATCCATGTTTCCCATTGTAATTCAGTTACTATATTGCACCCAATTCATCCAGAAGTCTTGGATAGTTTGAAACCAGTATGATACAGGTATATTAAGTAACCCCATCCACCCAAGTACTGGAACATTAGGTGACCTTTTAAAATCTGTTTTGTCACAAACAAATGAACACACTTGACTAAATAAGCTGTAGAGAAAATGATGACATTTAAAAAAGGAACCATCATAGGAAGGTCTTCAACCGTTTGTTAAGGAAATTACAGCCTTGTTCTTTAAAGTACTCCTTACGATTTAAGAGAAAATTGTATTCTTCCTATAAAATGCAATAACGTGCCTAGAGAAGAATGTGGAAGTTATGTTAATCACTATTCAGTCCTGGAGGTACAGAAATGCAATTTGTATGATCTTCTCTCCACATATTGCTATTAAATTCTGCAGTGCTTTTCCTTTAGGGAAAATCACACTGAGTATTAGAGAAATCCTCCTAAAGGTGAAATGTCTATGGCAGAAGCCCTATTACCTGAGAAATGTAACTGATATTGAACAAATATTCCTGTACTAATAGAAGTATGGGCTAGGTATCAAACATGCAGGCTTCCTCATCTCTAACTTCACACAGCATATAGGAATATAGTTTTCACAGTGAATACCTAGTTATATCCCCGAGACAGGTCTGTGAAGCAACTGGATAAAGAAGAAGTTATACACAATAATGTTCTATGCAGCAAAACCCCAAGACATGAACATAAATACAGACCCTCAGAAATAACACCAGGACCTGAATCAAACCTGACACAGAGGTCAGAACTACAAAACTAAAGCCCAGATTTAGGGGTAATAGGTAGGGGTAATGCTTGAAGGCAGTAAATTTCTCTTTCCAGTCCTGCACTCTTAACTAAAGCTAAATCATAGGAATCAAAAACTCCTCCATTTCTATAGCTCTTCCTATTCCCAAAAAAGCCATGTTTCTCACTTTGCAAGAAAGTAAAAGCTTATCTGTTCAAAGAAACATGTTTGTGGTATATCAGGATCAGGACATCCTGATCTAGAGCATGAGGTGAGGCCTGTTGAGCTGGAGTCATAGAAGCAAAGTTCCAAGACATTAGATATTACTAAGCACCTTATCACTTTCCACCTTCAGAAACAAGGGGAATTCTGTCAATGTGACATCCCTCCAACTCACAGGCCTATAATACTAGCTGGAGTTAAAACTTACTTTAGTCAGTTTAATAATAGTAAAATTAAACTGACGTGTCTTCTGAGTGGAAAAAGTGTCATTTTTACATAGTCACTGCTCAGGGTAGGACCAAACTTCCAGTTTCCCAGATTCCTGCCACCCCATCTCCTCTATTACAAAGTCTATGAATGAAATAAAATGTAAAGATTCAAGTAATGTAACATCCACACATTTTCACAAAAGTATTTCATTATTATTTCAGGGTTTCTAGATTTAGAACAGCATTTCCTGAATTGTTCTGTCTGTAATTCACAAAAGAGTGATACATTCTGACATAACCATAAAGCTAGCACTAGGACTAGAACAAGTTTATATTTATGGCAATGCTGTTTGAAAAGTATACTTTAAGACCTTCCTATATTATAAAAATGCTGCTGCCAACATAGCAGAGGCCTTTGCCTAGTTTGAAATGAGAATTTATGAAGAATATTTTGGGAAGTTCTATAAACAACATTCTATCCACTTTAGAGAATTTTATTTATCTCATCAGAGAGATTTGCTGAGGATCATAAGCTGCAATAACAGTAAAATGGCAGAAAATCTCTAGGAATTAATTGCAACAAAATAATCTGAGTCCCCTGAGACATCAAAGGCAATCTGCATCCTAAAGAAGAGATGATGAGGAATCTCAGGCATGCTGTGCTATTTCAGTGGAGCACAGGCCAGCTGAAAAAAGCAAATATGCCAATGAAGTGGCTGCCTGATGTTTGCCCTCTCTTCTAACGTGCTCATTCTCTGCTTTCTTCAGCTCCTCTTTCCCCAGCTATACCAGGTAATAATTTCCAAGAACCATAAAAGAGGACAGAAACACATGCATTTAATTGTCTTATAAATTGAATTATGATTCATGACTGCTTTTACATTTCACAAGTAACATATTATGCAAATCTTCAGCAGACCCCTTCTTGTTGGTAGCTTCCCACCTGATTTTATTTCTGAAATAGTCAAAGTGAACATATGAACCTATGTCTCAAGGTTATAGACCTTGACTGTATATAGACAGTATATGCTTGATTATGTTAAAAAAAATGTAATCTCTGAATTATAGAAGGCAGCATAATTCATTTCTACATTAACAAAAACGTCCTTTAAAAATGATGGAACATCCCTTACCATATGCTTTATGGTTCTTGCATTTGCATTTACAAAGAAGGAACAACCATCTTGAATATTTTAATAGCTGGATATATAGTCACATATCATTTTTCTTTTTTATCCAGCCTTCCAGGTCGCCTCCAACCTAATCTTTTCACTGTCTCTCTTAAGACGTAAAAATAAAGATATATTAGTATAGTTATGTTAAAAAGCTGCAAATATATAAAAACTAATCAAACCAAAGATCTACCTAGCTAAGTATTTTATTTCTGATAGTGTCCACTACCTCAGCAGTGTCTAAGAAAAGAGTGTAAAGACAAGGCAAATACTGAGTTATACTTCCCTCTGCCATACACTTGCAGCTTCCAGCAAACTGCGACTAAGGGAATTCCTGAACCAGGAGGTTGCATCTGCATAGCTAAAACCTTTCTTAGTGTTAGCCTAATGTTCTGAATTAATTGTAAAATGTCACATCACTTAATTTCCATCCAGGTGGACTGGGTCATGTATTAATCCCCTGAAATAGAAGGCTCAGTGTTAGGATCTTAAACAGTGGAGTGATAGAGTTGGTACATAGAGTATTGTTTTGTAGCTGCATCTTTTAGAGTATGAGATAGTGACACAGTGCAAATAGCACTGAAAGGCACACTGAGATGAAAGCTTGTAAGAAAAAGACTCTGGAATAGCAATGCCTAAGATGCTATGCTTTGTATTGGACAAAATATCAGGGAAATCTATCACAGAATACCCTGGATATCTGGATATTGAAATGCATTTTACTGTGTTCATCGCATCTGTATTCACTACGTCTTAATGTTTCACATCCACAAAGTTTTATTAAAGATAAGGAAGATGAGGCTCCTGGATGAAATTAGAGAAATGCATTTTGGTTGGAAGTGGGAAAATAAGCCCCTTGCTTCTCCCACTCATCTTCTTTGTTCAAGAAAAAAAAAAGCAAAAACAGTTAGCTGTTTTGCAGTTCACCATGTTGTGAAGCACAATATGATGAGTGCTACTCATCACACACTACTTTGTGCTTTTCCTTTGTGCTTCGTGCTTTTTTAGGAAAATAGACCAATTCAAACTTCTGGAAGACCTGCTTACTACTGTCCCCGAGCGGTGTGCCTCCCTGAATGTGCAAGAAATTCACTCCAGGGCAGCTTGCTCACCACAAACTTGAAAGGGAAGTGCCTTTTAAACTTTGTTAGTGGGATGTAAGCAGGAGGCTGGCTTTTCTGCCTCTTCCATGACGTATTTTACCCTGTCCATGGGTGCGAGACAGAACAACAGATAAAGACAGAGACCAGGAGAAGAACGGTGTATTGGTGACTGTTCAGCTCCTGAGCCATCGCCTTTTAATGCTTACAGATTTTGTCATGGATTTCCCATTCTAAGCACGTTGTGCTTCACATCAAAGTTGTATTGAATGGTGATGGAAGACCAAATTAGAGAACAGGATTTTCAAAATAATGCCCTTGCTGCATTAGAGCTGTAGAGGACCACAGAGATGATGCTAGTTCCCAAATCCCAGTAGGGAGGATATTAAGGTGATGCAGCTGTATCCGTCAGGACAGGCCTATATGTGTTCTCCCATGTTGCAGTCACACTGCCAGCATCCGCGGCAGTGACACGGTGGAGACAGATGAGAGTGTCGAGCACATGCAAGAGGGCATTACATGAAATGCTGTCAGCCAGTGCCTGAGCAATAGTAGGGGACAACAGAGAAGTACTGTGCCCAACACTTCCTGGAATGGTGCTGGGCACAGATGATCCTTGTTTAAATTTGCATTTGATCATACTCAGCATCAGTCTAGTGTTCCCTCTGCTGCCCATTGCCTGAAACGGGTGGTTTCCATAGGGAACAGTAAGGCTTCCTAATTGTGATCAGGCTGCCAAAAAGCTGCTGAATGGTACAGAGGCAAGTGGGTAAAATTACCTATTTAATGGCCTAGGCCCAGTAGTGAGAAGTGTGTACACAGTTTCAGCATTGTACAGTGGCAAAATGAGAACTGGGTCGATTCTGCAACCCTCCGTTTCCCTGAGTTACATCACTGAATTTAGACTTTTTAAAAGGCCTAAGGAAACTGGCCCTTTGAGAATCTCATCATGCAATGAGAGATGGTAGTTCAAAATGTGATTGAGTACTCTGCAGTTTCCCAGTACGACCATTCTCTTTTCATTCCCAGTGAGCACGTTCTCTGCAACGCGTTTGGGGTATTTAATATAACAGACGCTGTTTTACCCCAGGAGCACAGGTAACAGAACAGTAGGAAAGTGTCCCGAGGACTAGCATCTGCAAAATACATCCTTTCTTGCAACATTTTTCATGGAAAACATATTGACACAGTATTTTCGTACTATCATGACTAATATCAAATGCTGTTCTCAGACATTACTGGGCTTGTTAAAAAAGAAAAAAAAGTGACATTATATTAATACCATATGGAATCAGATTTGACCTGCTGCTAAAACACTCAAGAGGAAGGCAAATCCTTCTATCTTCTCCTATTCAGAGCAATAGCAAAATAGACATAAGCTATGTAGTTACCAGCTTGCGGGTGATAGAATTCAAGGTCGTGCTGACATGTTGATTTACTACTAATCATTTAGCCATCACTTGGCAGCACACAGCCACATGCAAAGCCTGCTCCACCAGGTTGTGTTACAACAAAGTAGTGGCAAGAGTGGAAAGAAAAGGTATTTCTTAAAATGCTAATAATTTTTTTCTAGAGCTCACACTGTATTTACCCCATAAGAACAGATTAAATTTCCTGTTTTTCTGTATCATATCTTAAGAATCAAACTCTGCCCCAGTCAAAGCGAGGTTTAAGTACCCACAATTAAATAGCATGATTCAATGTTTTCGAATTCTTTTCTTAAGTGTGATGCTGCAGGGCATGTCTCAGCATTAAAATAAAGGGGGGCAACTCACTGGTAATTGCTCATTTATTCCTGTCTTCACTGCCAGGAAGAAGAAAAAACACTAAATTCATGGCTTTCCCTTACCACCTGATCACACGGGGTTAGAGCTTCACTCCCAAACAGTCTGACATCTTTTGCATAGCTCATTGGCTTCATTTCTTTTGTACAGAGAAGCAGGGAAACATGTTCTTTGGGCAGCTTGGCTTTCTGCTAATATTTGGGACTTTCACAGTCTAAGAACTCTAAATTTCTGTTCTGCCAGGACTTGGAAGTCAGATAAACACCCCTCACTAGCTAGGCCTGTCCAGGTATAGAAAAGGTTATAAGGGACTTCTGTGGCTTACAGCCCTGAGCAGAACTACTCCGTTTTTATCACTTTGCAGGCACACATGCCCACAAAAGAGAGTAAGAATTAGAGTTTTAGTAAACACCAAACATACATACTAGTCCCAAGTATTTGGCACGATGCCATATATATTCCTATGGTTCTACAGTGTTTCCCCAAATTTACTACCCTTTAAAATATATGTCTCTAGTCCTTCACAATTATATTAAAAAATATATTAGTTTTCATGATCTTTAAACTGCCTGAATGAGCCCCAAGATAGAGGCAGCTGACGTTTTTTGCGTGGAACAGTTTTTTCCAGAACCTGCAGCTTCATCAAGGCATTCCTTTGGAACATGCTTTCTTTGCCAAAAAAGTCTGGAAAAAAGCTGGAACCATTTTTTTCTTTCTTATTTCATTTCAGTCATATCAGAATAGTTCATTTCAACCAGATAAAAACATTCCGTCTTATCTACCCTCCTTATGTATTTGGCTTAGGCTTTTGTAATATATTTTAATAATTTAATAATTTTTTAGTATAAAAGTTAAAATAGGATTAATTGCAAAAGTCAGCAGCATCAAATCCTTCCATCTCATTAAAAAACCTATTTCAGTATTAACAAAGCAAGTCATTCCATTTTTCTGGAACTGAATGTATTTCTACCACATCAAACCCCCTAAAGTTAATGTTTTTATTCCAAACAATAAAGAAGAAAATCCTTGAGATGCTAGAAATCCCTAGAAAATGGTAATTTTATTTTCCGATGATCTTTTTTGGAAATATTTTGGATATATTTCTGAATACCTATGATTAGCAGTGATAATACTATTGGACTGTTGACAACATTGACATGTTTAATTAGTACCATTGGGTTTCAGAGTGAACACTTCAATTGCTTTTATTTGCAACAGGTATACCGAGCTGCCCCACTTAGCCTGGGCTCCCAAGTGCCTCCCAGTTCTGGCTAATTGCATGAAGAAGTCCAGATGCACTTAAGATAACAGACAAGGGGTCTGCAGAAGTTATCAGTATAAAAACCACTAGATAGTAAATATAAAAAAACACTGAGACTGTGGAGATAATGTTAAAAAAGTAAAACTAAAATCAAAGTAAATACAAGCGTAGTGTGCTTATTACATCATTCACCCACGCTCAGTAAAAGTCCCAGTTTTAAATATATATTAAGCTGCTGCAGAATTTCTTTTTTTACCAGACCAGCTTACTAAAGAACATCTAAACTCTTCTGCAAAATTTGTTTCATTTTACTGCAGAGCACAAAGGGCTGTAGTGCACAAAACATAAATTGTCCTGTTCTTGTCTGGGGAACAGTCCTGAAATCATTAGTCAGTTTGGCAGCATAAGGAATATAACACAGAATCTGTGAGACGCATATGGTAAAAAATTTTAAGTCTTATGACAATCTGTTTTTTTATAACAACCTTGAATATCTTTAAATTAAATTAGATCTATTAATTTATCTCTGATTTTGGATTGGATTTTTATCTCAACTATTTCTTTGCAGATTTCGTATTTCTGCTTTTTTAACATATGTGCTGTGATTAGAATACTAGAGGCGAGAGGGATCGTTAAAATAACATTTATTATCTTATTGTTGTTGTTGTTCTTGGGACATATCTGGTCCTTTTAATGTGTTCTCCCTAAACAGAAATAAATAACACACTTTCCTGGGAAAATCCAATCTCTTCTTGAGAAAGCCGTGTTTTCAAGCTGCCTTTACTGTCTATTTGGTCCTTATAATGTTTTTTATTCTTGTACTTGTTTTGCCAGCTTCCATCTCCAGGAAGCCAATTTAGCCTATGTAATAAGACTGACACTTGACATACTGCAGGGAAGCGTACCTTATCAGAAAGGCCTAGTTCCACAAGAAAAATTATTTGCCTAAAAGTGTGCAGCACAGCTTTCATTTGGTCTAATTAAAGCATAAATGTCATTGTTCTAAGGTTCTTTAAATTACGTTTATCAAGCTGTATGCCACATTTTGGATACAATTAATGTGCAGCTAAGCTTTCCATTTCCTCTAATGTCACAGGGGATGTATTTGGTATAATTTTATTTAACGTTTTAGCAGAAGGTGCAGAAGCTGAGATTAGGCAAGTTTGTTATAAATTAAAAACTAAATAGGGCTCAGTGAATCAACCTTTTTATGGCAGGAATAACTTCTTCTGCATGCTATATTCCTTTTGTATACGAAGCACATTTCAAAATCCTACTCCCTAACCTGAAGGGTTTATGCACAGTTCACCTGTTTGATAGGCAGGATCATATTTGTCTGTAATTACATGAACAATAACATTCAACAAGGGGCATGAGAGGCTACTTAAATAACACAAGTATCATCGTACACATGTAAATAAATGCCAGATTCTTGTTTCATTGCACATGTTGGATTGGACATTCATCTATCAGCTGAGCCACTGGAATCAACAGCATTACTCCAAAAGCAAGGTCTAATTCCACAAGTAGAAGAACTGGGGCCCAGAAAATCTCTTGCATGCGTCATTGTAAGGGGCTAACTAAGACGACTCACAGACCAATTTTATAGCAGGCTGATGCTTGCACGATCTCATGGCATGAAACATTGTTCACTACAAACAAAATACAAGGACAAAATGCCAAGCTGTAGCATTACAGGCTGAGATATGTCTCTCCCAAACGTCACTCACCTATGGACTGTAGCATGATGGGAAGAGAGTGAATAGGCAGAAGTGCTGGGCTCCAGGTCCCTCACTCATATGAAGGAGTAGTTTTGCAGGATCAGTTCTTTAGGACTTACAGGAGTTCTGAGGAAACCGAATTGCCCCACAAATCACATTGCAGTCAACATGCAGCCCACAGTGCTGAATTACTTGCAGAGCTCTAAATCAAAAGCAGAAGCAGTGAACAAGCAAGGTATAGGACCTTTTTTGCTAATGTCTCATGCTTAAAGAAGACTGGACATTGAACTATCGAGAAAACACATATCCTGCGTTTCAGCCTAGACTCTAGCTTCTTCCAACACCATGCAAAGTAAACGCTGTATGGCTGGAGAGTCCACGGAAGTCACTTTCTATGAGACCTGTAACTGTGCAATGGTTCTCCCCTCATATGAGTACTTCTTTTGAATGCATGGGATTACTCTCCTGAGTAAATGCCTCAGGACAAAGACTAGCAGGTTGACTTTTTGCTTTCATAGCAGGAAGGCACTTATTGTAAAGGTGGATGCAAGGCACAGCTCAGTAGGACTTTACAGGGCTTGGGGAGGTGCATACATTAGACTGGATAGTGCCCTACCACTTCCAGCATTGCCTGTTCACCAAGTCAACAGTTCACTGCTCCTGGAGTAAAGTGCCAGAGTTCATAGGCAAGCCTCGAATCCAGCAAAGTCAATGGCAAACTTCCACTGACTTTAGTGCAGCTAAGAGTTTGTCTTTTCACCTCACCCCTTTCACTGAAACTTTGAGATGACAAAGGAATGCCTCTGTTTGATCTACCCTTGCCTTTCATCAGGTAAGACCAACTTCTTGACAAGTATGAAAAATAATTTAGTTGAATGTCTGAGGTAAATTACCTGGAAACACCCAGATACATGGAAAGGCGTGCTGCTTATCTTGGAGTAGAATGAACCTAAGTATGTAGGCAGCAGCAAACCTGCATTAAGTAGTCTGAAAAGAGCACAGTGATGCGCTCAAGAAATGATCACATCAGCAGAAAAAATGTTCATACTTTGGAAATCTTGCTTTCTCTCTTTCTAGTCTTCAAAATAGGGACTTTAAAAGGACAGATAGATGTCCAGCATACAGGGGAGATCTGATTGCATCACTTAAAAACCTGCCCTTTAAGCTCATTTACAAAGATAGGTTTACAAAAGTGAGAATTTCATATTACATTTCTTAAAATATCTTCTCTGCTTCATGTTAGTTTTAAGGAAAATTCTGCAATTCTGGCCTAATGAGCAAGTGCTGAGGCTTTAAAGAACCATGCTGATGCAAGCCCTTCTCACTGTAAATGTGTATATTCGTAGAGTAAAATGAGATTGAAGTACTGAATACAATTCAAGTCACCAAAATAACAACTCTAGCTAGTGCACAAGACTTGTGCTATAGGAGGCACAGAAATAAGTGCCAAAACTGAACAAAATATAAAAAAATACATAATGTTACTACACTATTAAGATCGATTCCTTACTTGCTTTAATATTTTTGCTTCTCTGCTCCCGCACTGCTAACACACACAGTATATTTGGCTGGTGACTTTGTGGCATTGGGGTATTCTAGCTATCAAGACTTACTCAATTGCATTCTTCATTTTCATTAGGGACCTCGCTTGCAGCTAAGATGACATTTGTTCCTGAAAGCCTGGCTCGTACAAGTAACCCTTAGTTTCATGAAGAGTCCTGTTTGCCTCAGTGTGATTTCTCACATGAATATGAGTTACACAGCTGGCCCTCGCTGACTATTTTTCTACATCTTTGTGTAGGAGGCAGCAAGGTCGGGCAGCTGGGACACTGGGGAGGCATGTGAGAAAATGAAGTTCTAATTCCTGGCTCAGCTGTTGGCCAGTCCCATGCTCTTGGACAAAGATCACAGAGGCAGAAGAAGAAGAGAGGGACCAAGTGAGTTGCCCATCTTGCCTGTAAGTTAATCAAGGAGCATCATGTGTGTTAACAGCAGGCAGCTGCAGTGCTTAGGACAATGTAATTCGTTTTCTTCTAAAGTCTACTCCACTGATGAGTAAAAGGTTGTCTTTTTCTACTTTTTTAATACTGTGATGTAAAGTCAGAATAAGATACAGATTAGTTTATTAGTAAATAGCAATATTTCAGTAGATTCAGTCCATGAATCCAGTTTCCCTGAACAGAAGGCATTATTTACCACCATCTAGATGAGTAGGAGATTTAACCCTAGATCTACAAAAGAGTTCAAAACCACTTCACTGCAGACCACCCAGGGAAACTGCCATTGGCCTAGAAATAAAAGATCTGAGATCTTGAGGTAAATGCCGTCCTGGTGCAAAGGACATACAGATTTCTGGCTAATCACTAGTTCCTTCCCTTTCCTAAACTTAACTACGTAATGAAAAAGAGTTTAGGATCCACAAAACAAATAAAATTCGGGCACTGGTTTTTTCATCTCTCTTAAATATTTCTAAGAGACAAGTAACACATCTTGTTTGCAAGAGTTTTTTAAACTGATGATCCCTAAATATGAGGAATCCAGAGACAGTGGTATTGTTGCATTATTGTCTTATCTGACGAAAATAAGAAGCAATATCTACCCAGACATGAATTTGGCTTTGACAAAGAGCAGCACAAAGTACATAAATATTTCTTTCAGTCAAGCGGAATCACTTCTGACCAACATTTCCAGAAATGCCTCTTAAAAATCCCTCTAATAAACTCAGACGGTTATGAAATAATGGATAGCAGACACATAACACCAAGAGGTAATAGTATGTTATTGGTTTTATATATTCAAGTATGACACAACTTTACCGTTGGGATAGATGTTGAAAGAAGAAAACAATGTATGGACAGGCACAGAGACGCTATGTTTCTATCCTATGGATTGCATTAAAATGATTTGAGTATGTAAAATGGGGAGCTGGATTACCAAAATGATGTAAGTAGATGAAAGTAATTTCTTTCTGTGGAATTCATTCTTCAAGAACTGGTGCCAGAAGCCAGAGCAAATACATTTATACCTTGCTATTCAGCAAGTGTTAGTAGTAGATGTCTGTGTAAAAATACATTTTCCAATTACTATTGGAGATAGGACATACTGCCCTCTAATTCCTCTAGAGTAAAAATTATAGATCAAAATTAAGAAAATCATACTTCATATAAATCAAGGTGCTATTTTCAATGAGATACTGTGAAATAAACATAAAAGCTGACCCTCCCGATCCTACTCACGTACCCTCTCCTGGTACACACTGACACGTCTGAGCCACATTGACGCATTTCCTATAAGACACAGTAGACAGAGAGACTTAAATACCTCCGGAAAGCTGTTATGAAGTTCTTGAGACTCCATGCTACCAATATGAGTATATCATTATTAATTCATCTATGTAGATACTTTCATAACGCTCATCTCAGTATCTCTCAGTTTCTTTGTCACTTTTCTACAAAGCATAGATTTAAAAAATATATTTTTAACCCATACACATATCTTCCTGTCCTTTATCCAATTATAAATCCCAATAGCATCAATAGGAAGACTCCAACTGATATCAGCCAGAGATGGTGTAGGCCTTTGATCATTAAAAATGTTTCATTATTTATTTGTAGTTATTTTTTCCCAAAGAAAATGGTTTTGTTAGTGGTAAGTTCAAAGAATTCATTACATTTGAAAACCAAACACATTGCAGAGTCCTATTTTGCTGAATAAATCAGAGGAAGAAAAAAAAGAAAATTCATGGGAAAGGGTCAAGAACTGTAGATGGAGCCAAAGCAAAAATGCAACAGGAATCCTGGAAATCACTATTGATGGAACGTAGCGAACTTCTCCGGAACCAGTCGTGGTGCTCTGAGTTCTCACATCTCTTAGCTGCCATTCTCTAGCGCTGCAAAAAACAGTGTTCAAGGGTTTATAGCCCATACGCAGGCCTCCCTGAACATAGCATATTTTTGGGGGGCCAGGAACAGAAGTCCTCATAGAGAAAGGTCACTGAAGGTTATGGCTGGTTCAAGGCATTTGAGTACAGAAATGCCATGCTCACAACCGACTCTCCAGCCCTACCCACTCGCTGAGCATACCCTGCAGGCTGTCAAAGGAGGCTCTCTGTGAGTACTGTGCAGAGCCAGAGCCATTAACGTCATCTTTTTTCAAATCACCCTTCAAGACTCACTTTTTCCAAATCTACAGATTCCTGCCAGCAAGGATGCTCTTGAGTAATGATCTGGAACTGTAAATCTGTGACACTTTAAGACCTTGCCTTCCCATGGGTTTCACAAGAATGTCAATGCCTGATTTGTGGTGGTAGTTTCTTGGGAGTGGGATTGAGCTTTCCTTTTTCCTGCCTTGGGCTGAGAACATTGTTGACACTTAGCCAAGATGCAGGAAGTTGCTTGGGTGTTTTTTAAATTTGAAGAGGCAGATGAACAAGGATATAGTCACTCTGAAAGCTCTGTGGCATAGTATCTCTGCCTCTGCCGTATGGGCCAGCATAGTTTCATGTTCAATGGAAACATCAGGCTAGTTCCAGAGGTGGAAAAAATTGAGCTGTTGCATTGCTCGATCCTCCATGCTTATGGTAGCCTGCGTGTGGACCTGGACATCTGAGCTGATGCAAACTGAGGCGGATGTGTGCCTATAATACAATTGGCACACACTCATTTTACTGAGGAGAAAATGGGTGGACTCAGCTCCACCAGAAGAGTCTGTTAGTGACTGCTCGGCAAACTGAATTATAATCAGGGTCCACTGGGAGAACGTTATGCATCCATACAAATGCAATATTTATTCCAGTATCCACCAAAGATTCGATCTAAAGTGGTGACCTTTTGCTGCAGGTTAGAAACATATTCATAACATTTTGTTTCAACCGCACAAACTCCAACACGGAAATCACTTTTGAATAACCTCTGTTCTGCTGTGGGCTATGGCTTTTATACTGCAGAGGGTATTTCCTCTCAGAAAACTTATTATTTTCCTGAAGATTTCAGCCAGAAAATCCAAATTCAAAAGCAATAATTGAATATTGAACTGAATCCCACTTGGCTGGGCTGTTATTATTATTTTGTACCAAATATTTTTGTAGCATGTAGGGGCCTACTGACTGAGACCTGAGGAAAGCAACTCTCCTAGTCCCCAGAGCCTGCGGCCAGACTGACAAGCCATAGCAGACAGATGAGACACATGTGTGGGATGGGGTAGGAAGCAGGCATGATGGGATTCCAAAAAATCCCAAACAAACCCCATGGAGGGAAGCAGGTTCCAAAATATTTATTAAGATTTTCAAGGCACCAAAGATAAAAGAATCATTCCAAACATAAACTACCATCCCACACAGTCACTGTTTGTACTAACATGCTGTTGTCTCAGTGAGTTTTTGTTTTCAGTAGAAAACCTTACTGCATTTGAATACAGTTGCCAGGAGGTGAGTTTGCAGACATGATGTTGACTGCAGAGAACTGCTGCATGTGGAAGATCACAATTAATTTACCAAAATGCTGAGTATGACTTGTCCTAACCTGTATGGCTTAGCATCAGAGTTGGAAAAAAAAACCCAAAAAACAAAAAACTTAACAATCATGTTCGAACCTAATGTATTTTCCAAAGAAGTTCAACCTTAAGGGACTTACTCTCCAGACAATTTCAATGTAATTTCTTCTTTACTGAGAGCTTAAGCTAACCTTGAAGACTTTCCTATTTACACTGGCCAATAGCGAACAGTAACACAAGTAATTACTGCAGATCAGCCAACATGCAGTAGCCTGTTACCCTTGATAAATTGTTTTGTAAACTTGAGCCCTTAGTTTCATGTCTTTGCATTTCCACTCTACTGCTAAATTTCTTGGTCATATATTTTTTTTCTTCTCATTTATGCTGTTGGCACTACTATTTGAATTACTCATCAACGTTGGGTCAAAGCACTTCCTACAAGTGTCTCCCTATTCTTAAGATGCAATTTTATATCGCTTTTATATCTCTAACTTCAAAAGATGAGGCTTCTTCCAAAGGCAAATTTCTGATATTTTCTCAACTGACTTTGCTAATTAGTTCTCTATATTTCTCAGTCTAGTCGCACAAATTTGTTGTTACAGATTTGTTGTTGTTAGTGCTTTTATTTCTGTTAAAGTGAATAAATTCATGAACTTTCAACACAAGGGTATTATTTAGGACCCATTTTTCCCTAATAGCCTCATTACTTGCTGAAGCATAGTTTAAATTAACATCAAAATTAACAACAAATTTTCTATCCACTCTGAAAGCCAAACTACAGGGCCTCCTACACACTAATTCAAAGTACAGATCCTGATGGTCATTACCAATAACAGCAGCAGGTCTCTTAACAGATTTCATTCTACTTCACTTAACTTCACAAAGGGAAAATTTCAAAACAATTGCTAAAGCTTTTTTGGATTAAGAAAAGCATTAATGGAGTCAGAAAATGCAGGTACTCCCAGTGTCTGAAGTCTCTGCGGAGAGACAAGTGCATGTTTTGTGATTTCACATCCATTCCTGGTAATTTGGATGGCTAAAATATACTAATTTGATCCGATCTATATAGCAAAGAAAATGAGAGAAACAAATAGAAAATATTTCATAATGAGCAGGCAGAAAGGATGACTAAACAGCAAATTCTGCGGATTTTAAGCTCTTGTTAAAAGTTATGTTTATAGCTGTAACAGCAGAAAACCAAAAGCAGAAAACTAAACACAAGCAACAAAGAACAGAGAAGGAATTAGAGCTAGTAGTCACTACTGGGAACGTTAAGTCGGACGGTATTAAAGCACAAGCACGTTATTGGGCTCCTCCAGCGCCAGAGTGAGCCAAGCCTAGAGGAAGTCTGCCAGAAGGAAAACTCCTTATCTGTTCTTCAAATCATTTGTTGGTCTGATATTTTATTTTCATTTCTTTGGTATTCTGAAGAAAACATGCCAGAACAATTTTGTTAAATCCCAAATTCCTTATATTCATGAGATTAAGGCACGAACTCAAACCAAGTAACTGGATGTCCTTCAGTTACCAGAGATTTCCTTTTCATTCAGAGGAAGATACCAGAGGCTTTTGTCAAACGACCTTAAATTATTTAGATTTACAGGAAAGGGCACCATCTGAAAACTGAGTGATCCCTTGGCTTAGTTCACTGTAAGTTCTAGTTCCTTTCAAACAAGTAACAGGCAGCTTTGCTTTCTTGGCTGGACATTTCCTCCTCTCTTTGAAGAGTGTTCCTGCTCTACAATTGCACTGCACCATAATTCATAACAGGGACATGAGCTGATGAACAAAGGTATTAGCACTTAACAGATGCTTCTGAGTAAAGCTCACAAGAAATTTCTTCAGTTCACTGCATAGAGAGAGAGTCAGACTAATTCAGGGAAAGATTAGCACAAAAAAAGAAAAAAAAAAAAGCTGAATCCCAAACGACACATGAAATTTCAGCTCCAAAATCCAGTTTCTGAGTTTGCCCTCTTCCACATACACTTCCACTTACCCCAGCGAAAGCCTGCGTATCAGTGCCATTCTTTAAGGCAATCAGATATTTTGAGTTTCCATACGCCCAGGTGCACTAGGATTTACTTCCACCTGCTGCTGAAATAAGTGCTGTGCAGCCGTGAGTTTCAGCCCACATTCTTCCGGTCTGTTGAGTTATCTCCGTCTTTGGGCTCAGCTGCATTCCCTTCCTTTCTCAGGCTCTTCCTCGCATCCCCAGACAGCTGCTAACAGCCCACTCCTTCCTTTCTTCTTCCGACGATGACTTTTTAAAATGCATATTCTTTTTGATCTCTGGGCTTTCAGTCTTGGCAAGCCAGCTGTGCAACTGCCTGGGGCCTGGAAAACAGCATTTTCCCAAATGATAATTGAGTTATTGTTGTTTTAACTCCCTTGAAGTTGTTTACCCCAGGTATCATGTCTCAACTATTGTTTTGTTGCCTGTTTCTATCTTCTCCCAGACTAAACAACTTTCTTGGACTTAACTGTATAAATAATCTTCACATACACAGACTGAGGCATACAATCTCTTCATAAAAGCAGTACGCTTAATTCCCCTGGTTCTCCAAACCACAGTAGTTAAGATCAGCTGTCTAGAATATTGTGTTAACAATTCCCAGATTCATAGGTTAGATTATCAGTGGCAAAGACTTTTGTGCTGCAGGGTCTCTGACTCTTGAATTTGCTTTCCTTTCTAGGTCTTCTCTGCCCTCTGCTATTCCCATGAATAGAGGGGTGAAGGGATTGGCAGGCCATCAGGTGAGTTTATTGGATAAGCAGATATCTTCTTTCAAAAAAATCCTAGCAACCAAAGCTTTCACGCTCTGTAAATTCATATGCTAAAATTTTCCCCTTGTTTAACATCTGCTAGTTTTCCAACACTTCTTACTCTTTCTCTTCCTTCCTTTTCTTCCCCGAGACTGACAATATTTTTGATACTATTTCTTCTGTTGATAACCCATTTTAGGCCAAGAATATTTTGTACAAGATAGCCTGAGGTGTTTTAAAACTCTTTTGAATTTCTTTTGAAATGTGGGGAGAACCAAACACAGGAGAACACGTTCAGCATAAAATGGAAAATATTTTTCAAGACCTCTTAAAATATACTATTTGTGGGTGAGCAACGCACTGAAAATGAGAAGCGCTGCATCCTACTTCTTTATCTAATTCCCCGCCTTGGCTACTTACTAGTAAAATGAGACACATTTAGAACCTAAGGAGACAAGCACAAATACCTGGAAAAGGAAGAAGAATTTGCAAATCTGTTTCCAGTTTTCTAGACGAACGTAGGTTATATCAGCATGATTGGGTTTTAGCATCTGATACATGCAAACAGCTAAGTTGTATTGTATGATGAACACCCCTGACACAGTGCTACGCAAAACTGCAGTACAAACAGTTAAGGAGATAGGGCTGCAAACAATTGCAAACATTAACTCTATCCAGATCAGGTCTACATAACATAGTATTAAAATTGTTGGTGTCTTCTGATACCTTGAATATGTCTGTGTCCCCAGGCACTGCTAAAATGGGGGCATACTACCAATAGAAGCAGTGAGGGAAGTGAAAAAGCCTTCCCAAAGTAGACTGGATTCGTGTGTCAATTAGAGTTAACATCTCTTATTAACACCCAGCGCTCTCTTCTTGCTTAGTGCAAGGCTGAACAGGTTTTTCTTAATTCAGCACTGAGGTGAAATTGCAACAGGTATAATTGAAAAGGCAGCAGCAGTTCCCTGGTACTTTATAAGAAAGTGCTGGAGCCATTGCAAAATCCACCCAGACAAAACATCCAACTGTTACATAAAATGCACTATCTCATTGCAGAATTAGGAAATGTTCCTTTGCAAGGCAGGAAAACTATTCAACATGCTGATATTTATAAATAGCCACACATTGCAGTCACGAGCTTCTGAAGAACACATTCTTTCCAAGAAGAACGTCAATGTTAATCCACTAAAGAGTGAGTGGGTGAGTGCGAGAGACAGTGTGAACGTGTGAGCCCAGTGGTGCAGTGTGGCTGGCAGGAGTTGTGGTAGAAGGAATGAAGTGGGGCTCTTGACTCAGCCAGCTGCTAGGGCTTGCTCACCTCCTGCCTCCTGTATAATCCCGCAGCTGGATCCTATAAACCCCTGGCACCGGTATAGTGGAAAGCCTTGTGCATTTGACAGCTCCACTATCTTGAGAGAAGATGATGCAAAAAAGCCAGATGGGTAACTGCAGCACATCAGAAACAGCTTCGGTTGCACTGTGGACCAGATCTGTGCGCTGATACTATGGCAGGGCAAAGTCCTCCTTTTCCAACCTTCACAGGCTTTCTGTTGAGCGCACTTTTGGGGTAGGATGTGGAAATGGATTTTGGCATGGCCTTCAGGAGAAGCCTGCCCTTATGTCTTCAGATTCTCCTAGACAACGGCACTCACTACAAGGAACTAATTTCCTTTCCCCTGGCACATAATGCCAACTTCCATTAACATGCTTTGAGTAGCAGAATGAAGTAAAAGGTGTGAGTATCAACATGTAAGGCTTTCCAGAGAAGGACAGAATAAGCTCTGATTCCTGCCCTTGCTGAATAATGAATAAGAAAGGCTGTGAAGGGATTCCCATGAAGATTTCCATCAGTCACAGAAGGATGGATACATCAGCGGGAACAGGCCCACCTTTAGCTGAGATAAGACTCAGCTTTTTCTGTGTTTTCATAAAACTAAAACATCTAGAAGCATTTAATAAATAGGAACCCTCACTTTTTTTTTTTTAACATGAGAAGTTGCAGGTCGCTGTAAAAAAAATTAAAAGCTTGAATCCTAAAATACATTATGTTGCAATAGCAAGGCTGAAGTCTAGAGAAAATTTTTTCCTGGGCTTTCAATTTGTAGCAAAGATTTAAAAACAGTTCTAGAAAAGGACAGATAATCCTCATATGAGCAAAAATTAAGAGAAATTAGTTCAGCACTGGACCATTCATAGACACTTGGTCATAAAACAACAACAACTCGTCATTCTTAATGTTATGTTTCTCTAGGGAACTGCACTTTTTGTTTTCTGTAATGAAGTGTTATAAGTGAGCTCAGCTTCACTGGCGTAGAGCTTTTTCTAAACAGCTGAGAAATGGAGATCTATTCTGATTTGAAAAGATGTTTGCAGCGCAGTAAACATGCATGTGATACAGTCAGGTCCTTCTTTTTGGAAAATAAAAAATGACATTCTATTATTTTTACTTTATATTTTCTCTTCTAAGGAAAGGCATTTAATAATTTCATTGCCAATATATACTGGACATAGAAGATCAGATAGCAGATACTATAATGAATGTTTTTTGTTTACAGAAAAATTGTGCTCATGGTCTTTCTATAATAGCTGATGTTTTCCTCATAAAGAAATGGATGTCTCAGTTGGAATTGTTGTTAGTCATGGATATGTTAACTGGAATTGTTGTTAGTCATGTCTGAGGCCTGAGGTTGATTTATTTTCTCTCTGAACTCAGCTGATTTTATTGGAATTGGTAACTGAAACTTGTCTTGCGTCTTGTGCTATGACAGTGCAATAAATGAAATCCTAATGCACTCGTTGCGTCTCAGAAAACTCGTTATCTGAATGAGTCTTTCCCTCCCTTGCCTCTTAATTCTTACAGCTATATAGTTCTTTACAAGAAACTACATGAAGTAGGTAAATCAAGATAAAGGGGTATCTGTACTCTTCCCTCTACATCTACAGTTCTGATTAGAGCTAATCACTTGTGCCAAATCAAGCACTGACTTGTAGCACAGACTAGTATATAATAGGTACAAAAGCAAAATAAAAGTCCTATTCACGGAGCTTTATCTCAGGACCATAGTGAGGTTTGGGATGTGACTGGATAATAAGCCTACAGGTGCAATTTAAATACCATCTTATACAAGTATATCAGGTAAAAGCCTCGGAGATAATAGTCCTTGTCTAAACTGGGCTTGGCATGCTGTTTTACAATGCCCACTGGAAATCACGGAGGATAAGCTTGGAAAATGATTTGTCTAAAAAAAAAAAAAAAAAGGTTGAGGCATCTAGGTGCTGCCTTTCATAAGGCCAAAAAAAGCTATACAAAAGGAAAACATTGTGACAGCAAAACAGAGACCTGTCTCATCCAAAGCCCATCACCTGTTGGCTCATTAAGTAAAGGCCAGCTCTCAGCTTAATTGCACTTCTAGAGGAGCATCACCTCTGTTGACGTCTACTGCAAAGCAACGAATAAGTTTGGGTTTTATGACTGCTGTTTGAATCCCAGACTGATTATGGGTATGCTTACTATATCAGCAAAGGGAATCTGAGGACTTTCAGCCTGATTATCATTTATACTGAGGTCTACTTCTAAGAACAGATCAACACCTCAGGAGGGAACTGTGTGCAGGAGGAACTTCCTTCTCCTGTTCCTGCTAAAGGCCAGGCACGCAAAGGCCCTGACATTTTTGCACTGAACACAATTCTTTTTTTGAAGGTAAGTTTGAACAGAGTCAGAAGAAGAAAGTGTTCCAATAGATATCATTTCATACTGCCAATTTCATATTCTCACCACTACTCATGCAATATGAAGTGGTCTTTGTACAAAAGGAGAATCATAACTTCTCTCAGACATTTCCAACGTTTTCTTAACCTACCTTCCAGCAAATCATCTTTTCTCTCTTTCTGCATGCTACGCTAAAGAGAACAGCCTGATGTTTCGTTCTTTCTGGTAATGCCTTCAGACCACTTTTCAACCCGACAGGCTTACATATGTTCCCTTTGGCAGTGAGAAAGACTGGAAGGTTTATATTCTTTTAAGTTATCTTTCATTCAGTTCTCTGAACTATAGCAAGATGCCTGCTTCTTGTACAGAAACCTCATAGCATGCATGGTAGGAAGGCATTATTTGCTCGCAAGACAAAAAACCTTCCACTTGGCATAATGAACCAATTCATGTTCCAAGTCCTTACTTTTCATTTTGGTTTTCTCAATCATAAATATCTTGTGATACTGAGTAACACCAACAGAATCTGAAAATTATGCACAGATGAATGAGCTCGTTCATAGTTGTTGTTCCTCAGTCTATGACTTACACATTCCACATATTATGCATTTTTACCTGCATACTGTTCCAAGGGATACACACATAGTGGCAAATTTTTGGAAGAAGCCTGGGGTCATGCATTACCCACAGGTCTTATGATCCATCCTGCAATAATCTCTTTTTGGACTGAGGTTGTCTCCATATCTTAAGAAAGTCTAATTGATTTTGTCTTGATTTAATTTTGTTTCTCAGACATGTTAATACACAAGGTTTTTGTTGCTGATTAATTTAAAGCATTAAAAATAGATTCACACCCAACTATTAATCATTTGATGTATCCAGACACAAGCTAGTAAGTTAAGCTGATGTGGTGAAACAAAATGTAATTTTCTAGATCTATCCTTTGAGCCCATCTGAAAGAAAAGGAAGAGGCTTTCCCCTCATTGTTACTTAGAGTTCCCGGGGTCACCTGCCTTCCAGAGCGGGAACCACAGGCGTTTTGAGTCCACCAGTTCCACTGGGAAACTGAGCATACAGATTTCTGCAAAACAACAAGATGTATCTGCTTTCATGAGGGCTGAATTACCTTTCTGCTCATGCTTGCTACCACATCATAGGAAAACTATAAAGACAAGAAGCAATCGAGTTTTCTCCTGGAGAAATACTAGGACACTAAGATAACTCATGAGTGTTACTCTTGAGCACCTGATAGTAGATTTTTTTTGAGCATTGCTTGCTCCAAACCACCATCACCAATGTCAGACAGCCTTGGCGAGAGTTATAAACCCTCAGAACTGAATTCCTCTCTCCTCCCAGCTCCTCTGGATCAGGTCTGAAGAACATTAGTGGGACAACATGGGCACAGTGCACTGCCTTGCCTTTCTCTTCGTACGAGAGGTGGTGCATCAAAAAAAAAATTATTAAATCCTTCACGTGCAGCCAGATTGTTTTTCCTACTATTGCATTTCTCTTGACTCAGCCTTTTCAGTGTGACTTCGACTCTGAGGAGAATTAGAATAAAGATGCATAGATAAGGGGCTCATCAGAAATCATACATTTTTCCAAAGATACAGGAAAAAGAGAAGGACATATTTCTCAAAAGAGGTTTTTCAAGTTTGTTCTCTTGGGGCCTTTTGGGATTAGGCTACATTAAAATATTTTGTTTTATATCTCTGAATTTTAAATATCAAAGGAAGTTTGATAGGTAGAATTAACTCCGTTCAAATGGAAAAGGAACTTCATTACCTCTAATGGCTGTGCAATGAGTAGCTGGTCATTTGTGCTGGCTTCATCGCATGACCTGCATCAGGGTTGTGAACGTTTAGCCTCTGTCCAAGCGCAGCATGTGATAGCTGTGGCTATGGTTTGTTTACAGCTTCCAGATCTCACGCTCCTTTTTCATTCAGCGTATCCAAGAGGCAGCTAAAATACTCTGTTCTGAAATGACACAGCACTCTCTTCAGTTTCTGCTCAGGTAGCCCCTGTCTCTTGCCACGACCACCTCAAGTTCACATCTCCCTGCTGGCATGATCAACGTTGCATCACTTAACCTATCCTTCAGCCTATGAGTCTCTCCGGTCCTCAAGAAAAAAAACACCTTCAAAATGAAGGCATAAGCCTTCTGAGTTTGATACCAATAAGTTCCCTCCAAAATCCAAGGGAAAAATCCAAACGTAAAATGTGTTTGGAGAAAAGACGCTCTTTGATCTTGTAGATAAGCTGGGCTGTCTGCATACCTTTCTGTTGATATCATCTTTTCCCGCTAGTAACTCTGTGCTCTTCTTCCCCCATGCTGAAATATAAAACCTTCAGCTTCCCACATCTCCATAGTACCTCTTCTCAAAGCACATATCTTTGCCAAACTGAAGGCTCTTTGGGGCTAGGACTGCCTTTTCATCACCTGCGAAGTGCCAAATACATTTTTGGACACAGTGACTACAATTCTTGCAGAATGATCTCAAATGTTTTAAGTTAAACAGAAATAAGAATTATGGAATGTGGTCTAACTGAGGACATCCCTGGATTTTCCAGTGTGACAGAGAGGAGGATTTGCTCCTTGTTCTTTGCTTGAGAGAGAATGATCATAGAGGAAGGGCTGGGAAAAAAAAAAGTAAAGTAAAAGTTGAACTCATAGCTTTAAAAAGTAAGAGTAACAGCGCTGTGAGTATCAAGGGAAGAAAAACCAAAGCAGAGTGTAGAAGTGTATGCAATCTTCTAATTTCTAAGAGAAAAATTTCCCCGTGAAGTTACAAAGCATGTCCCTAATTCAAATGAGATGCTTTGCTGACTAAATACTTGGTTCCTTTTCCTGCTCATTCCCACAGGCTGTAGAATCTCAAAAGGGCTGGGATGAAGGCAACTTAAGAAAGATATGGGGATGTCCTACTGGGGGAATGGGCAGGACTCCTGTGCATTTATTTTTCCAAGGTCTTCTTATATAGAGATATTCAGAAAAAGTCACCTGAAATAACTAACGGTTTATATTTAGAGCAGATTTCTAAAAATTGCGTAAAACTCCTATTTAGTGGTTGGATGCTTTTGTTGAAAATTAGGGGGTTCTTCATTCAATCTGGTTTAAATTATTTTAGAATAAGAGTAAACAGATTAGCAGGATTATACTTGCGAAGGGTGCCCATCCCACAGGTTTAGACACAGTTGTAAAGTTAACTCAAACCCACTTTCAAACCCACTCAGTTAAGCCCCATGTAGAGATGTACATTTTCGCCTTTAGCTTCTCCCATGCTGCACACGGATCACAAAACAGGTTTTGGTCAGTCTTTGGACAGCTAGGAGGAAAATTTAAGATCTGTAGGCCTGCCCCACCTTGCATCTCCTCGACACCTGACCTCTAGCAGAGCACTTGGGTTCACAGGCTGGTGGTAGGAATGAAGCAAAACCACAGCAGAATGAAAGGGCTTAAACTGAAATGCAAAAGAAAATTCTGAGCAGTCATGACACCACCACAACCTGACGCAAGTCTTTGTTCAACGGCTTTCCCACCCATGGTCAAGAATTTAGTGGATCACAGAGTCTCTGCCCTCTAAGGAAAGGTACAATGCTAAGAAACTTAGCATTGTTTTTCTGCTTTCCCTGGGTCCAACAGCAGTTCTTACTGCCTCCATTTAGCTTCAAGGCAGGTGAGAAGAAGAAGCAGCTGATTATGTCTGGCCTCAGCTATTATGGAAATATTCCAGCAATATTTTCGAGCCCAGCATTCACTTTACAAAGCTAAGAGCCACTAAAAGTCAGCTGTGCTTTGACCCACACAGATATTTTTCCCTCTGTTCCACGCTACAGATGTTTTTAATGTGTTTTACATCTCCCTGGATATTAGATCACAGCATTTAAAAAACTTGCAGAGCTGTGAATTGCCATTTGAATGTTTTTAATTTCTTCCTTTCTTTCTTGGCTTAGTGATTAAAGTAACATCTCTTATCCCTGTGCCCCGTTAAAGTCAGTTTTCTGGAACAGACTCAAATCTTTGGTCCACAGCTACACTTAACTGAGCAATTCCTCTTCTGAGTTGTGTTTTTGGAATGAAAACTGTTTCATTCAGTGTGTATGCAAATCTGATCTCACGCATCAAACAAGGTATTAGTATTAGCGTTCTAACTCTTAATATGCAACTGCCAAAATTTTATAATCGCTTTCCTTCTAGGACCCAATATCAGGCAGATTTTCCATCAATTATCATCATAAGACGACGTGTAGTAAGGAAGCCCTTTTTCCAGCGCTTGATTTCTATGGGTCACAATGAGCAGCTGACCGCAAAGCCAGCTAAAAGATAATGAAGCAAGAGAATATTTCAACTTGGAAATATGCAAGATATTTAAATAACTAAGGAAAAAGGATGGTCTTTTGCTTAGCTCTTTAGAAGGAGGCTCAGGAGCTCCCCACTGACTTCTTAAAGCCTGGAGTTTTGCTCCCTGAAATTCTCTGAAGATTCCAAGAGGCTTGAGCAGGTTCTGCTCAGTCTTTTCCTCCCCATTTTTCTATTCCCCACACGAAACACAAGGGACGAGATGGCCTTCCTTTAAACACTAGCCTCCAGCTCAACTGCCTCCTGGTCAGGCCATGCCCTTCTGCTTGCTGTACAATGCCATCACAAGGTATTCTGACTATTCCTAGGGCTGTTAAATGCAGCCAGAATAAACCTACCCTATACTGTAACACTTGTAATTTGACAAAGGCATATCCAGGCCCCTCCAAAATTCTTTCAAGCTTACGGAGGCTGTTCTTGACACAACTATGTTGCTAATATATAAAACTTCATGTTTTTATGATAAATACATACATTTATGATAAACAGAAATTCCTGTGTGAACTAGTTTACTCTTCCCATGGACAAGCACTTCACAGTACATGGCTCTCTTCAATATTAATGGCCAGAGTCAATCATAAACCCTTTATGTTTCCCTAGCAGGAAGGTTAGAATTCAATTCTTATCCTACTGCAGTTTGCAAACATACTCTCCAGCTGGCTTGGAAAAGAAGCTCTTCAGTTAAATCATCCTGCACAACATTGCTTCTTAGTCTCTGATACCTCCCTTCTCAACAACACAATGACAATCCTGTGCTTACCGGGTATTTATTAGTCTGTTCCTTAAATGTGATATTTATTTTACAACATATTTATTTTTCATTGCAATGGCCAAGCGGACAGTTTTGGAGGGGGAAAACTGTGCTTTTTAATTTAAAATGTCTCCTAAAGACTTTGAGTAAATGCTGTTCTTTGTACTTTTCCCCAGTCTGCACATTGCTCAGTAAATCAGTTGCTTGGTTCTTTTTGTTTTTTGAGTTTAAAATATTGTTACTAGCGGAAGGTAAAGTGATGTGTTAGCATAGCAGAGTTTGCTGTGCTATTGAGCTGAGGCAAGAAGCCCAGAAAACTAGAGGAAAATGATTCATTGAAATCTATAATCCTTCCCTCTGCCCTCACTATACAGCTCCATAGCATGAGATTATTGAGCTTTTTAGAATAACCACTTATCTACCCGTGGACAGCGCTGGTGTCTGCTGGAATGCTAAAAAGGTCCACACCTAATTACTTTGCTGACTCAATTCTTTTTCTCCAACTCAAATTTCAAAAAAATCCATTATAGTTTCTCCCCCAAGCAAGGAAAGTAAATGGACTTTGGGGAGGATCAAGATGCTCCAAAAGGATGAGAGAGGAATAAAGAAGGGAATTTGAGTGCCTTTCCATAGGGTCCTATAAAAGCTGAGATTCCTCCAAATGAGTCAATTGTTTTTGCAACCCACGCTGCAGCGCCCAAATCCAGTCAGGTTTTCCTGATCTCCTAGCAAAACGCTGTCACGTGGCAGTCCTCTTTGTTACATGTCTGAATCATTTTGTCTAATTTTGACTGAATACTCCTCGGGCAGGGACTGCATCTTTTCTACTTTTCAGGAGTTAATGCAGAAGTGCCTAATACATAATTACTGTATACAATAAGCTTAAAATTCAAGGCACCATTAAATCTTACTTTCAATGACTCAACAAATTTGTTACCTTGAGGAAGTAAACACAGCTGTGAGCACACACACACAAAGGCATTTTTTCTATTACAGGAGCGTCTTACCATTTCATAGAAACCCACTGATGCTGACACCAACATATCGTGTGCAGTTTTCCCCTCTCCTCCAAGATATTATTTTTGTGAAAGCGCAAACCAGTCCCTTTCCAGCACCTCAGTGGGGCAGGAAGACTGAGTAGCTTTGGCATTTTCACAGGCAGAGATGTGCAGCACCGAAAACAATCCGAACAATAAGGACGGTGCTGAGGGATATCACAGAAAGCTGCATTGACACAGAAATTCCAGAAAAAGCTGACTACCCAGCTGAGAAAATACTTTCTGGAGGAAATACGTGACACGATTTTTTCAAGATGCCTGTCCTTGACTGCCCTTTCTCTAAAGGCTGCCATGAATAGGCCCACAAAGTTTGTTAGCGCCATTGTTCTGACGGCTGGGATTCCCCAGTGCTGTGGGAACGGCGAATGAGCCTCCGGCAGTTCTCAAAGCCGTTCCTAACAGGGCTGAACCTCCCTCTCCGGTGCAAAGCTGCTGCTCTTCTCGGGTGGTCTCAACGTCCCTGTCAGTCACTGAGAAACTCTCCCCTGCCTGAGAGTCTTGGAGGGACGACTGAAACAACATCTTACACAATGCCTGTTCTTAAGAAACTTTAACTAACTATCCCTGTGTTATATATTGGGGCACCTACGTGGGGAAAGCACTGCATTTCCACCTCAGTGACTGCAATGTATTTGTTTTCACAAATTTACCGCACATGGTTAGACGCAATTAAGCACTGGCAGGTCACAAGAGGCCGGGGTACCCAGCAAGCACAGCAATGAAATGGGGCTTTTCTCCTTAGAGTCCTTGTGAAGGTCAGGGTTGGAGCGACCCGCAGGCCAGCTCTGCAAAACCGCTCGTCCCTGTG